CACGGTTTGCTTGCTTTCTGCTTTGCTTTTTTTGCATTTCCGATGAGTCTTGCATGGTTTGCTTGCTTTCTGTTTTGCTGTTTTGCATTTCCAATGGGTTTTACACGGTTTGCTTGCTTTCTGCTTTGCTTTTTTGTATTTCCAATGGGTCTTAGCACGGTTTGCTTGATTTTTGCTTTGCTTTTTTGCATTTCCAATACATCTTGCACGGTTTGCTTGCTTTCTGCTTGGTTTTTTGTTTGTTTGTTTTTTGCATTTCTGAAGGGTCTTGCATGGTTTGTTTGCTTTTCTACCCCCCCCACACACACACACTTTTTTTGGCCGGAACGGATTAATTCCGTTTCGAATGGGTCTTGCAATGTGTTGTGGGTTTTTTGGTGATTTTTTCCTTCGGCCAGAATGGATTAATTGCATTTCAGTGCATTCCTATGGGAAATGGTGCTTCAATTTATGACCATTTCGAGTTACGACCATCTTCCGGAACGGATTACGTTTGTAGGTCGTATCTACAGCTTCCAGTCTGTTGAGTAAGGAGTTTTCTATATGCACATGTATGACCTCCCTGACTCCTCTCTCAAACCACCCTATGGTTTCTTGGTCCAAAATGAGTACATCTTGGTCCTCATGTCCTTCAAATGAAGGAACACTGCTGATTGTGGTCCTGAGCCATTGCCCCTCCTGTGCTGGGCCATTATCCTGTTTAGTGTTTGGTTTCTCCAATGTCTGGTTTCTCCAATGTAGAGCTCCGAACACTCCTCTTTGCCTTGAACCGCATATATAGTATATTGCTCCTGTTGTGTTTTGATGTCCAGTCTTTTGGGTGGACGAGTCCCTGCCTTAGTGTGTTTGTGGTTTGAAGTGATGTTTACCAAAAATCCCTTTGAGCTTTTCAGACACACCCACCATGTAAGGAATGATTAGGTTCTTCTGTGAGCTCTGGGCCTCAGAGCTGCTGGGTCAGGACATTGCTTTGTTAAAGGCCTATTTTGGATATCCGCAGGCCTTAAGGGCTGTCCTCAGATGTCCATCTTCTTTCTTCTTGGCATCTGTGGAGGTGAGGATGTTTCTTGCTCTGTGGTTTAGTGTCCTGATAACCCCTAGTTTGTGTTGCAATGGGTGATGAGAGTCAAATCACAGATAATTTTGTGTTAACCTATTTATACATATTCATTTGATAATGAAGAAACAGAACAACAGTTTAAACAGCAACCAGGTCATCTGTAGCTTTCTACTACCTAAGTCAGGGATGGGCTCCCAATTTAGGGACCTGCTCCCAAGCCAGTGTGTTTAGGATTGTAATCTTAAACCTGTTAGAGATTTCACCTTCTGTCTCTGGAGTATATTATTGATTAAGAGGAAGATGGGGAGTGTCAATCCCTTTCTATGTAGAACTGTAAAGCTCAATATCCTCTGCTGCTAAGGGCTAATGGGGTCAATTGTGACCACTCTAGGTGGCTCTATCCTCTGCTGTTAAGGGCTAATGGTAGTTGCAGCTGAAAAATATCTGAGGGGCTACAAATTGCCAAGCACTGATATAAGAGTCCATTTTGTTGTTTCCTCCACTTGATTTTCTTCTCATAATATCACTTAGCTAAGGGCAGAAAGGAATTCCTAGTGTAGTGGATAGAGTGATGAAACAGGACTCTTGAGAACAGTGTATGAATCCCATTTGGCCATGGGAACTCACAAGAGTGATGAACTAGGACTCTTGAGAACAGTGTATGAATCCCTCTTGGCCATGGGAACTCACGGAGTGGAACTGGTAAAACCACTCAAATATCTCACTTGGAAAGCCCTGTTAGGACGGAGTGATGAACTAGGACTCTTGAGAACAGTGTATGAATCCCTCTTGGCCATGGGAACTCACGGAGTGGAACTGGTAAAACCACTCAAATATCTCACTTGGAAAGCCCTGTTAGGACGACTGTAAGTTGGTAAAACCACTCAAATATCTCACTTACTTGGAAAGCCCTGTTAGGACCACTGTAAGTCAGTTCTGACTTGATGACACAGATTACACACACGGGCAGAAGAGGCAATGATGTGATGTTGGGTCCATGCCATATTTTGGCCAAATTATATCACAGACCCACCCTCTACATTTGCTGCTAGAGCGATTTCAACCTACTATTCTTGGGGAGAGCACAGGAAGAAACCTTCAGGAATATGAGATACCATGAAAATAAGGTGCATTTCATAAAAAGATAAGAAAATCTACATAAACCAAGCCTTGATTTCTCAGATCACTCTTCTGTGTTAATTAATTAGCTGACTTCTATTATTTTGAACACTAATTGATTCCAAACAGGTATTTCATGACCTGATAGGAACAAGAAGCCACAAACTACGTAGATTGACTGGCTGTATGGCTCTGAGAGGGTGGCTTTGTTTCTAGCATTATGTTTTTAAAATTAGCAGGGAAATAGATGCCCTCTTGACCATTCAGCTGAGGCATGACATTTAAGATGGGTCTTGACCTGTGATAATAGTAGAATAGTGCCCTTCCTTCTGGATTCACAGCATACAGTGGGGAACAGCTGAGAGCACAACTGACAGGAGGCTACACTTCATCAAGAGTCTAGACTCCTAGCAAAGTCACCCAGAGTGGGATGGTCAAAACTGAGGCATCGGATTAAGAGGTTTCCAGGGATGTGGACTTGAGTCGTGGGATGCACCGCCAAGTCAGATTTAAGTCGCACTCAACTTGGGAACGTGACTTTTTTAAAAAAATGACTCGGATTCAATTAAGAGGTTTCCAGGGATGTGGACTTGAGTCGTGGGACACACCGCCAAGTCGGATTTAAGTCGCACTCAACTTGGGAATGTGACTTTTTTTTTTCAATGTCTCGGATTCGATTCGTGACTCAGAACCCACTCACCCCTCCCATTTTTGTGGAGAAAAAAGTTTGGTTTTAATAGGGATTTGGACTTGGGCATGGGACTTGGTACCAAATTCCAGGGATGTGGACTTGAGTCGTGGGACACACCGCCAAGTCGGATTTAAGTCGCACTCAACTTGGGAATGTGACTTTTTTTTTTCAATGTCTCGGATTCGATTCGTGACTCAGAACCCACTCACCCCTCCCATTTTTGTGGAGAAAAAAGTTTGGTTTTAATAGGGATTTGGACTTGGGCATGGGACTTGGTACCAAAGACTCAGACTTGGGACTTGGACCCAAAGACTTGTCAACATCTCTGGAGGTATCTCGCTTCTTCAGGAATTAAGGATCACATCAGGAGACAAAAAGTGATCGCTCCAATGGTGATGGGAGTGGAGAAGCCCTGAAGGAGGGGTGCCGGGCAGCAGCAGAAATGAAGTCAATATCAGCAGAGGATCTTTAAAAGGACAATGGCAGTGACACTCAAGCTAACTCCTGTTAGTACTGCTCATGATAAGGCAATGGTAAATTACTTATGAATATTTATGCCTTGAAACCCTATGCTGAGATAATCCACCATGAAACAAAAGGTTCTGCTAGAAGATGGGACTTCCAGATCAGAAGGCACTCCGTTACTGACGGAGAGCAAAGACTAAGTTCAAAGAGCACTAATATCACAGATGAACTGAAGAAAGGATATCTAGTTGCTGATGTGCCTAGAGGCAAAATAAACTACTCTTAATATAACTTATAAAAGTATTACATGTCGTGTGACATGGCTTAGGAACTGCTGTGCCATACACATCAGTCCATCTTTCTATTCTAACTTGAAGCGCAGGGGAACAGGAGAAAGACAGACCAAGGAGGTGGGAAAGCTGATACTAAAACACCACATTAGTTTGCTACATTAATAATGTTCTCAAGGAGGCCACACAGGTAGGCCTTGGTGGCATATATCAGAATTTTGCAGCAAAACCAAGAAAGAGTCAAAGGGCATCACCAGACAAGATTTTGATTATGTATTCTGCCATGAACTTGCTTCAGTCAACATTTGGCAAATTTGTTTGCTT